GAATCTCATCTGCAACCTACCACTTTTTTCACTCATTTAAGATACTAATAGCCCCATGGTAGGTTTAATTCTAAGGATGGTTAGAGCGCTAAGAATGGTTAGTAATATCTATCCGATCCATGGTGAAGTCTTTGACACCCTTCTTACTTCTACTGCCTACCTGTAGAAGCAATTGTAAACTTCTACTTTATCATTCAGTTATAACTGTACTGTACCTCATTTGAGTAGTTTTCCTCTTTTAGCCGCATCCCATCCATAAATTGCTTGCCGGCGAACTTCCCATTCCTAAAGCGATGCACATTGCTTAAATTCGGAATGGGGAATTCTGATTTGAGATACTAAAATGTTATTATCTACCACTCAACATCGCCCTGTACCACATCAACATGCCCTTTCAGAACGTGCTTACCATTATAAATTCTGCTAATTTCGGTTTCCTCTACTACCTTTTATATTTTTGCCAGGTAAAATTTGAACAATTCCGTATTAAAACGCAATATTTTCCCATTTGATGACTACAGAAAAAATTTTATAACACACTTGTGATATTTTAGCCAAAATTTCTCGTAGTGAATGTGAAGTCAGATTATATAATTTATCAACCAGAAAACTGTTAAATGAATTTTTTAAATATTTTTAATTAGCATAGGAAATACAATACAAATGCTCACATTTTGCTTATTCTACGGAGCGCAGGTGTTGTGTATTTTATCACGCAATAGATATATGCGAAATTATTTCTAAAAATATTGTTCTAAAATTCAAACAGCATTCAGAATTTTAAATTATGCATTTGTTTCAGGAAGAAAGCCAATACTTCACTAGGAAATTTATACTAAGAGCGTGATTGTTGCAAACGAAAGTAGGGCACGTCAAACAACAATTATGAGTCTTAAATGAAGTCATAAATTCAAATAATTCTCGAATTGCGCCTGCTTGCACAGTAGACACATCCACTGCATTGTGATTTCGATATTTCATCTAACTAGTCTGTGTCTCAATTTGTCAAAGAGAAGGTAGAGACACGAAAAACATTATGCTGTTTAACAAAGGTACAAAGGAAAGCGGGGAATATATGCTAGATAACAATTTTTTCACTTTCTGTTAGCAGTTATTAAATGTTAGCAGCTAACTAATAATGTTAATCACGTTTTAAAATGTGATTGATTTTTAACAGCCGAATTCCTTTGATGTTAAATGTAATGCAATAATTGGAAAACTGATTATATTATATGCCTTGTTTTAACTTTGAAACTAAAGTAATTTTATCTAAACATATATAAAAGTCTTTTATTTATTTCTTACTGAATTTAAGGAAATTTTACTCTTATATATATATATATAAATTTCATATATTTATATATATCTGTATACATAAATTCAGTTAATATTTTTTCTATATGTATATATATACTCGTGTGCTAAGTTAAGAAAATTAGAAATTATGTCTATTTTAACGAAAGGTATTGAATCAAAGTTATTAATTATGTGGTCGAAAGGTTATGCAGATATTCAGAGTTAATTACGTAAGTGTAAACTTGCGTGTCTGCGTAGTTGAGATTAAAGGAGGGATGGAAGAGCACGAAATGTTTTCGGCGATTTGTATGCTCGCACGCCTTCACAGTTTTCGTAACTTCGATTACAGAGCTCAATGAAATGCAATCGTCGTCTGCAATTTCTGGAAAGAGTTTCGGACACTGGATCCATGAAGACCTGGACATGGTCGATGAAGATTCACAACGACAAATGGGAGTCGTTGTTTGGTTTTTCAGATAGGCTATGCAGGAGTGCTGCAGCTTCACAGCTCTCAGGCGAGATGTATGCTGCCGTTGGAATATGAGTTTCACAATCTACAGTTGCCAGAGGGCTTCATTTAGATAGGATTATATGCAGTAACTCGCTTGCATTGCGGTCATTGCTGCGCATAAGCGAGCACGTTTCGCATGGTGCAGGCAACATGCATCTCAAGACCGGACTTCAGTGATTCTTCAGAAGCCTGGGCACCAATTCACGGCATACCTGTATCTGAAGGAAAGCTAATAACACGATACTCTTCCTCTCTCATTAGGGAAAAACATCATAACGGTGATGGAGGTGTAATGGTATCGCGGGCATAATGTTGGATGGCTGCACATCTTTACATGTGTTAGGCAGGGGCCCCCGGAATGTTATGAGGTTCAGAGAAGAGATCGTAAAGCCCTATGTTCGACTTTTCAGGGGCGTAGTTGGTCGTGGGTTCTGGTTAGTGGACGACAACGCTCGTCCATATAGAGCACAGCTGATCAACGATTATCTTGAAAATGAGGTTGATTGATGCATTGTTTAGCCAAGTCAGCCAGAAACGAAGATAATTAATGGATTGATCAGCCAGAAATGAGGATAATTGATTTAATGATCATGCAGATCTCCTCACCCTTAACTCTACAGTGCACGTGTGAGATGCTTCTGGGAGGGTAATTCCATCCCGCCATCCCCTTTCAAGGACCATCCTGGAGTTGAAAACTGCCTTTCTGCAGCAGTGGGATCGATTGCCACAGAATCTCCTCAACCACCTCTTCTCCAATATTTTAGAAGATTTTCTTTCCTGAAATAACTTTGTTCTGCAGAACACTGAGGGTGCTCACCCATCATACGATAGAATTTACGCTCACGGTTGGCCAGACCTCACGTTTACAACAACTCATGCAACAAACCTTATCCAGGACTGGAAGGTTGAAGACGCGATAAGTTTATCAGACCACAAATTTATTACTTTCACATTAGACAAGATTACATCAGTACCAATTATCAAACGTTATAAACTGCCAGGACAGAAAATCACTTCCTTCACCAATAAGATTCGCAGCCTTCTCATTGAATTAGAACCGCAGTTAATGCAGGCTAAATCTCGGGAACATCTGGAAGCATTTACAGATTCACTACAGAATACTATCAAAGAGGCATGTGATAAATCTCTTCCACTACGTAGTACCAAACAACTCCATACAATTAATTGGTGGACTGGAGCTCTCCGCACGCAACAACGCTAATGTCGAGCCCTTCGCCGTAAATTAAAACAAGACAGGCGACTCAATTTACAAACAGAAACATTACAACGCTTTCAACGAGAGCGCGCAATTTATAAGAAAATGATTATAGAAGCCAAAATCAATTCGTGGAAGTAATTTTGTACTAAAAATAAGGAAATTTATGGCATCCATCATAAAATAATAACGGGGAAGCTATTCATGCCGGCGCATCTTCATATCCCCACTACTTTGCCCACCACTATTAATTATACAGAAGAAAACATCCAACTGATCTTAAACGCGGTCTTTAGTCAGGACTCTGCTAATGGTGACACAGCATATCATGCTTTAGTTAGAAATGATAGCACAACATATGATGCCGCTCCAGATTTAGATTTTAAGCAACACGTATTTCCGCAAGTGCTCAGACGGTTACCACATAGAAAAGCGCCAGGGCCAGATGGCGTGGATTACGCTATAGTAAAAGTTATTATAAACGCAGCTCCAGCGTTCTTTTTGTTCTGTATTTCAATAAACGTTTTAGCACAGGCACATTTCCTAAGAACTTCAAGATAGGACAGGTTATTTTATTTTTGAAAAAGAATCAGGATCCAGCAGATCCAGGTTCTTTCCGTCCTATCTGTTTATTATCAGCATTGGGCAAAATTTTTGAGAAACTCTTAATGAACAGACTCCGTTTCCATCTGCAGATTCATAACGTGCTTAGCCCGAGACAATATGGCTTTAGGACTGGCGTTTAAACTACACATGTGCTTTATGACATACGAGGATCTATTCTAGAGAATAGAAACAATGGCTACCACACTGCACTCGTGAGTATTGATCTCAAGAGGGCTTTCGATAACCTCTGGTGGCCAGCTATCAGGAAAGCGCTCAGGGATGCTAACTGTCCAATTAACATCTATCGGACTTTAAGTCATTACCTCTCTGATCGCGAACTCTTAGTTGTCCATAATAATGGCTATATAGAACGTCAACAAACTATGGGCTGTCCACAGTGTTCTTGTGCTGGCCCTCACTTATGGAATTTAACATTCAACAGCTTTTTAACAGCTGAGTGGCCAACACATACAAATATATACGCATATGCTGATGATGCGGCCTTGATAGTGCGAGGAAGATCTCGTGAAGAACTGCAATCCAACTGCAATGATACATGCACGCTCTTCCACTCTCTGTGTACATCACTAAAACTAACCATAGCCGATCAAAAATCTAAAGTTCTGCTTATTACTAAAAAAGGAGGGTCACTCGTACGAAGACCACGCATTATGCTCAATGAACAAAGGATTCAAATTGTCCTATTGTGGCTATATAGAACGTCAACAAACTATGGGCTGTCCACAGTGTTCTTGTGCTGGCCCTCACTTATGGAATTTAACATTCAACAGCTTTTTAACAGCTGAGTGGCCAACACATACAAATATATACGCATATGCTGATGATGCGGCCTTGATAGTGCGAGGAAGATCTCGTGAAGAACTGCAATCCAACTGCAATGATACATGCACGCTTCTTCCACTCTCTGTGTACATCACTAAAGCTAACTATAGCCGATCAAAAATCTAAAGTTCTGCTTATTACTAAAAAAAGGAGGGTCACTGGTACGAAGACCATGCATTATGCTCAATGAACAAAGGATTCAAATTGTTAAAGAATTGAGGTATCTGGGTCTTATTTTTAATGAAAAGATGACCTGGATACCTCACGTAATTGATCTCAAGATCAGAACATCGGTAATTGCCAGACGGTTGAAGCAGCTACAGGGGCATAAGTGGGGTCTTAACCCACATATTCAGAAAATTTTATTCAAGACAGTTGTCGAAACGATTATTACGTATGCAGCAGCTGTGTGGGCATTTCCTATGCAGGGCCGTAAAATTAGACATCTGTCAGCAATCCAGAGACCCTTTGCTCTAAACAAAACTTGTGCTTGTCGCACAACAGCCTCTAATGCAATCAATGTTTTAGCGGATTATTACCCTTCCACCTACGAGTTGAAGAAGAGGCTGTCAGGCAACTCATCAAACAGTTGCGGCGTCCATCTTCTTTCTCTGATGAATATTTCCTTCCAGAAGAGTATGAAATACCGGCTCCTAATTTTCGTACCCATCCATCATTTAAAGGCATAGGTGTTCGCATCCAAGTCCAGCCAACTACTACAGCTCTGTCTTCTCAAATAGAAATTTATACAGACGGCTCGAAAATTAACGAAAACACAGGCAGTGCTTTTGCTGTTTTGCGGGATCATATAGTTACACATCATTGGAGAGGTCAACTGCGCTCTCAAAATTCAGTCTTCCAAGGTGAAGCGATTGCTATTGCACAAGCCTTACGCTACCTAATCTTTTACGGTATTAAAAAAGCAGTTATAAAAACAGACAGTCTATCGTCGTTGCATGCTTTGGGTAATCCTGACCATCCATCTACCATCATCCAAACCATTCAGCAGGACCTAAGAGAGCATTTCCCCCATCAGCTTAAACTTGAGTGGATCAAAGCTCATGCTGGGCATTACGGAAACGAAACTGCAGACAGTCTAGCCAAAGAGGCAGCTTCAGGCAATGCAGATACTCAAGTCAATATCCCATGGCCTATTTCTTATCTAAAGAAATGCCTGAGATTGAAGGCCATTGGACGATGGCAAGAGGAATGGGACGAGGGCTCAACCGGTCGACGAACGCAGTATCACATAGCGTATGTGGACACTGACCGTATCATTTCCAACCCTCAGCTCGTTCGATTTATCACTGGCCATGGTCCATTTCCGCAATATTTTGCAAAACGCGGACTCAGCCATACTGAGTTCTGCTGCTGCGGAGATATATGGGATCCCCAGAGCATTACCTGACCACTTGTCCATTGACATCTGATCTTCATATTCAACTGCCAAGTACCAACAGGCAGGCTTTCTGCAAATTTATCATAAAGCAGAGATATCTGATTACAAACGTTGTCAATTTAATGGACAAACTGTCTGCGCTGGGCATGGACTTATGTCAGACAGCGTAAATTCTCCTGCTGCCATAAACGTATGCTCCGTATGGATTATATGCAAATTTGTATCAGCAATATAATAGTCTTACACCAGCAAAGTATAGTACCAGTATTAATCAGTATTGTGTCAGTATTAATACCAGTAAAGTATTGTATCAGTATTGTAACAGTTAAATATTGTATATGCATATTTGTATCAGTAATGTAACAGTCGTAATTGAGTAAAGTATTGTATGTATCAGTATTATATCAGTCCTGTTTCCGGAGTGTATCAGTCATATTTGCATCAGTAATATACCAGTAATGTGTCGATAATGCATATGTGTTGTGTTAATTCGCATTAGCTTGAGTCTTTGTAACGTGTTATTTCGTGGTTTTATTTACCGACTTGTACGAAATCATTCCCATTTACAATTAATCACTATTAGTCAGTATTGTATGAGTATTAGTACCAATAAAAGTGTTGTATGAGTATCAATATCAGTAAAGTATTGTATGAGTATTAATATCAGTTAAGTATTATATGAGTATTAATACTAGTAAAAGTACTGTATAAGCATATCTGCTCATGCATACATCGCATGAGCAATAAAAACAGTCTTACAATCAGTAAAGTATTGTATCAGTATTATATCAGCCTTGTATCAGTAGTGTATCAGTTATATTTCATCAGTAATATACAAGTAATGTATCAGTAGAACATTGATCTGTGATATCTTAATTCGCATTTTTTTTTTTTTTTTTTTAAAGTCTCTGTAACGTATAATTTCGTGGATTTTTTTTACCGACTTGTGCAAAATCATTCCCATTTCATCAGTATTAATATTCAGTGTTATATCAATGTATCAGTAATGTAGCAGCATTAATCAGTATTAATATCAGTACCAGTATTATATCAGCCTTTTATCAGTTCTGCATCTGTCATATTTGCATCAGTAATATACCAGTAATGTATCTTGAATATTAATCTGTAACTTTGTAACATGTTATTTTGTATGTCTTGTCGTGCACGTTCATTACCTTTCAGGTGGCATTATGTATTTTGAAGGGGTGCTATAGATAGTACAATAGTACAAGTAATGTAACAGTAGAACATTCATTTGTGATATTTTAATTCGCAATATTTTGAGTCTCTGTAACGTATTATTTCGTGGATTTATTTACCGACTTATGCAAAATCATTCCCATTTAATCAGTAATAATATTCAGTGTTATATCAATGTATCAGTACTGTAGCAGTATTAATCAGTGTTAATATCAGTATTATATCAGCCTTTTATCAGTTCCGCATCTGTCATGTTTGTATCAGTAATGTATCAGTAATGTATCTTGAATATTAATCTGTAACTCTGTAACATATAATTTTGTATGTCTTGTCGTGCACGTTGAATACCTTTCAGGTGGCATTATGCATTTTGAAGGGGTGCTATAGATAGTGGTGGAAGTGTTGCTATACTAATTAACCGTTTGATAAGGGGATAGTGCCCACGTCCTCCGTTCTCTCTCTCTTCTCCAGTATGCCGTCAGGCTGTGAGAGAAGACCACACCCCATTTTAGATTCATTTTTAGTTCGGTATTACATTGTGGATTTTGGACATCCATGCACTGTGAGCTTTACAGATAACCGTGCCTACATAAAACGATATTTGAATGGTATATCTCTTTCTTCTGTTATATTTTCACACTAAGTTTCAAAGATCTGTCAATTAGTTTTTTTTTTTTTTTTTCAGATATACTACATAATGTGCAAATTATTTCTCACAAGTGTATATTATATGTTACACATGCATGCATATACAGTTTTTTACAGCTTTCTGAATTTTCTTAGATACTTATTCTGAAGTCACATTCCTAAGAGATTCTTTCTTAATTGTTCTCATGGAGTAAAGGTTAGTTCATCCATCTAGAAGGTGGGAAATCTACGGTTCGAGTTTCGTAGAGGATAAAGCTTTTTTTAAAAGCTTCCCAATTAAAATTGTAGACGAGAGTGTGTCATAACCAGGATATGGTCAACTGATCCAGATGCAGCAAATCATGCCTTTTCTAAGTTTCCTTTTAAATGTGGGAAAATATAAAGAATTATCACATTTTTCATGAGAGGAATCTGAAGAAACGTGTTTCGATTCTAGGCGAGCCCACAGTTAAAATGCACAATTTAAAATGTCCTGTTCCAGGACATAATATTCTTTACGCATTTAATAAGTTACTGTATAAAACGTTTTTTTAAATAAAATGAAGTATAAGTAATTCTATGTTTCACGTAATATTTTTAATAATTCATAAAAAAGTATCTGAATAATCGTAATTTTTGACATGTGAATACCCCAGTATCTTTATTTTTCGAATTAGCTTACATCAGGTCACAGTTTCCGGTTATATTATCGGTCATTTAATCATTAGCGTTATTTTCAAGGAGGAGACATGAAAAATGAGCATTGCCCTCGCCAGGATTCGAGCCCTGGACCTCTAGAATACGCGCCTAGTGTGCTAATCGTCACACCACGAAGGCATGTTACAAGGAGCGAAAACATACCTTACATACTGCCCCTTTTAAAGGGCAAATGGGGATTAGGGGACCCAATCGCCAAATCCTGGTGGTGAAGAATTATCATTCATCACCTTTTTTAGTTCGGCCCTAATGTAGAGACATTAGGATTTTCGAAAGCAAGAGAGATGAGAAATGAGAAATGCTCTAGCCGGGACTCGAACCTGGACCTCTCTAAATACGCGACGAGTGTGCTAATCGTTGCACCAGGAAGGCATGTAGAACGGAGGGAGAAAATACCATACAACATGAGCTGGAAACTTTTGTTTTTTGAGCTGTTAACATACCTCTTGTGTGTTATCGGATAAAGCGTTAAGATATGCATATAAACATTTGCAATAAATTACACAGGAAATGGGAGACCAAACCTAATGCTTTCTCTCCAAGTTATATAACAGATTCAGTTTATCAGTTGTATGGAGTTAGTAGTAATATGAATTTCATTATTATTTGCTAATGCTACAAATTTTATAGGATAATAAATGTGAATTCAGCTGAAACTAAGTTGGTTAGTAGGTCGACAAAGAGGGCTAAGAGTATTCATAGTCTCAGCATGGAATGGGAAGAATGGAAATATATATCCATTATTCAAGTCTAGTAAACTTTCCAATTTATTACCAAATGAGTGCTATATGGCATATATTTCATATTTTATTATAAACCTTCATAAGTATTTGTTAACACCATCTATAATACTAAGTATATAAGCTAATAATATTTTGTAAGTTTATTTAATCAGCTTTGTTTGATGATTTCTAGGAAAGTGCACTAACTTTCGAAACGAAAATATGATTATAAAACTGGAGCTAACTATACCTAGATTGATTCCAAGTTTCACAGAGTACATTTGTATAGCAATCATATATGCTAATGAACATACAATCCTACTACTGTACCGAATATACATGTTATTCATTTGAAGCGAATGCGAGAAAATCATGACCCATGTTCAACTTTGTGAATACACTGCTGGCCGCCCAAATTGCAACGCCAAGAAAGACAAGAGATATCACAACAAAATTTATTTAGTAGATAACATGTTGACCGAGTATTAAATGATTAAATTTATAGACTTCTGTGAAGTGTAGTTCCTTCCAGAATCAGTAGCCAGAGTAGCCGCCCCATTGTTGGAGATCACCGCTGCCACACGCCTCGGCATTAATTCAAAGAGACTTTGGATGTGTTTTGGGGGTACAGCAGACCAAGCAGCTTCCACACGTTGCCAAAATTGATCTGGTGTGGCAGCTTGAGATGTAATCTAGGTCAATCCTTCAGCAAACATGGACCTCATGTTTTCTATCAGCGAAAGATCGGGAGAGCGAGCCAGCCAGGGAAGTAATTCAATCTGGCGATTGACGAAGAACCCTTGGACAATGCGTGCCACGTGTGGTCTCGCATTATCTTGTTGAAATATGGCTGTTGGCAAGCCCTGAAGGTAAGGAAGGACGACTGGCTCCAACACCTCGGAAATGTAGCGCTGTCTGTTTAAAGGCAAGAGACAGTATGTAGCGCTGTCTTCCCTGGCTGTTTAAAGTACCGGCAATGCGTATTAGAGGAGTGCGAGAGTGATATCCAATACCACCTCATACCGTATAAATTGATCTCTAAATAGAATTTTTTATTATATGCTTAAAAATGATTTTATTTCTAAAAGACAATTTGGTTTCACCCCTCAGAGATCATCTGAGGGAGCATTATATAAAGTTATTGAATTTATACGATCATTTCGGAAATTAAAACATGTAGTCGTCGTCTCTTTCGATGTCTCTGGGGCCTTTGACGCGGTATATTGGCCATCGTTATTACAACATTTATTAAGATTAAATATTTCTAACAATTTATTTAGAGTTATTTATTTTCAAGATTGATCGATTGTATTTATGTCTAAATCTGAAAAAAATCTCCATTCAAAAATCTGTTTTTAGGGGGTGTCCTCAGGAGTCCAATAGTGCTCCTCTGTTCTGGAGTCTTATTATGCATGATCTTAGAAACAACGAATTTGAAGGGGGGGATCGACGTTGTGCCATATGCTGACGATTTATTACTTCTAATTAATGCTGATTCTGTGGAGAAATTGGAAAGAAAATTTGATGGTTTCGTACGGATTCTTGATTCTTGGTGTATACATGAAAAAATGACCATTAATATTGATAAAACTAATTTTTTGTTCTTTCCTAGAGGTGGCCAATCCGTCCGACCTCCTAAATTAAGATAGTTTGCAAATATTTTGAAGCCTTCAGATTCCATCAATTATTTAGGTGTCTTGATTGACACTAAATTAAACTTCACTCATCATTTCAATAATGTTC